AGCTTGTCCCCAGCCATAATGATTATGAGCTATAGTGGAACCGGGGGATGGTTGTGTGAGGCACTAGCTACCCTAAGATTTTAACTAAACCCTTTAATATCATATAATAAAATAAAGCAATCACCCTCATAAAATCCTCATAAAATTAAATACTTAAAAATAGTTTACATTAATTAAAAATTTGATTCAAGAATCTTATAAAATTTAAACATTTTATAGAGCTTGAAGTTTAACAGAAATAATCACCACCTTTTATTTTATTTTTTTTATTATTGTTTTGCACCCTTCATTATAAGTTTTGGTTTTACCATTGTTAATGAATATCATGATGGAATCACACTTGATAACGAAATTGTTGAGGCTAAGTACATGAAAGAAGATGATTTCTATCCATAGGCATGCAATAGCTTATTGGATACAAAAGCTGTTCATGACAACCGGTAGTTTCGAATCAATGTTGGATAATGTCACAGTTATTCTCTGACTAACATGGATAGTCTAAAACTGGGAGAGACACATATAAGTGCAATCATTTGGAAGAGCAAGTTTTGCAATTTCAACAAAAAGATGGAAAAAAATAGAATAGAAATTCATGTATCAAAAAATAATAAAAAAAAACATTAATTAATTTGCCTACCTGATAAGTCAACACTTCTAAATGTCCTGAGTTCTTTGACAAATTCATTGAGCTTTTGCTTGGAGTCCCATTCAATCTTGAAAATATTGCCCATTGGGAGATTTGTGCCAGGGGAAAAGGACCACTTCATTCCTGGTGGTGTTGTAGATTTATTCTCCATAGATAGCTGACCCTTAGGCTTTGGTATAAGAACTTTCTCTACCAACTTCCATAAAACTGCCAGCTAAAAACGCAAATTAGTACACTAATCTTACTTCAAAACATAATTAGTACTTTTGCCTTTCATCAAAAGGTAAAATTGTCATGGCATTACGATAAGAAAGATATTGAACACTTCGGCCCTACCATAGCTTCAAAATGCAAGTTTTCTCATAACAAAGATGCATAAAATTCGTCTAATGACACAAACTTATTCTTGAAATTCATCCAAAGGATCCTAAAGGCAAGATGAGGGAGTCATACAATGATGTAATGCTCAAAGTTTATAGTCATCGGACACAGAATGTGAGCCTTGAGCGAAACAAATTGACATTTTGAGTTTTGGTGGTATTTTAGTTTATTGTATTTCATTTTTTTTTATTGACTCATGTTATGTATTTGGGCTATTAAAATCATTTATTGTCTATTATAACTGGAGGCATACCTAAGAATCGTTGACTCATTCATCTCAATTTTTTTTGACATGCGGGTGATGGATTTTTCTGCTTTAGTCATCATTAACATGTTTGTTGAAGCCGAGGATATCTGATTTGTGCCAGGGGAAAAGGACCACTTCATTCCTGTTGGTGTTGAAGATTTATTCTCCATAGATAGCTGACCCTTTGGCTTTGGTATAAGAAATTTCTCTACGACCTTCCATAAAACTACCAGCTAAAATGCAAATTAGTACACTAATCTTACTTTAAAACATAATTATTACTTTTGCCTTTCATCAAAAGGTGAAATTTTCACAGCATTACGATAAGAAAGATATTGAACACTTCGGCCCTATCATAGCTTCAAAATGCAAGTTTTCTCATAACAAAGATGCATAACATTCGTCTAATGACACAAAATTATTCTTGCAAGTCATCCAAAGGATCCTAAAAGCAAGATGAGGGAGTCATAAAATGATGTAATTCTCAAAGTTCATAGCCATCGGACACAGAATGTGAGTGTTGAGCCAAACAAATTGACATTTTGAGTTTTGGTGGTATTTTAGTTTATTGTATTTCATTTTTTTTATTGACTCATGTTATGAATTTGGGCTCCTAAAATCATTAATTTTCTATTATAACTGGAGGCATATCTAAGAATCGTTGACTCGTTTCTCTCAACTTTTTTGAAATGCGGGTGATGGATTTTTCTGCTTTAGTCATCGTTAACAAGTTTGTTGAAGCCCAGGATATCTGATTTGCTAATTTGGGATTGTGGAACCGTGTTGGGAATTGTTGAAATCATTGTTTTCAATGTTGGTACTATAGCTGATAATCAGAGTTATGAGAAGTGAGCTTTTGTAATTATAAATATGTGACTTTTGAATCATTTATACAAAAATTGATTAATGAAATTATTTACTTTCCTCTCAAATTAATGAAAATGAAGCCATCTCCTTATACAAATGTGAGATTTGGATCTCTAATTTGATGTCTTCTTTGTTATTTTGTCTCTACATATTTCTATGGTAGATTTGCAATCATGATTGACATTTGTCGGATACGATTACAATTATAATTTTTGGATAGCAAGTTTTAGATTGACATGTAGTTTTATTGATTCAAAATTTATGCCTGCAAGTTTTACTTGGGTGATCTAAAAAATACAGTTTGGCATAGATTTTAAGCATTTTTTTAGTTTTTTATCAAAAGAGATGAAATTTTGTTTAAATTAAGAGTTTGTGGACTACAATTTTGACCTATTGTGCATAATTTGCGCCTTCTACTCTATTTTTGTATCATGAAATCCAAAACCCTAAGACATCTTGCATTAGATTTGATATTAAGGCCTACAGTTATATCAAAATGTCAATTAGACGTGGGGATCAATATATTCAATTAATAAATCATCAAAGGGATGTGATTTTGATAACTATGCAAACGAAATTGCCTAATTATTCAACAAGAAAAATTAAATGATTGGTGATTTAAATCAAATTGATAAGATAATTAATAATTTAAAAATGAATCAATTTCACCCACATCAATAGGAATTTTATATGTGATTGCAGATATAAATTAAATTAAGAGGATAATTAAGAATTTGAAAATAATCAAGTTCACTCACATGAAACAGAAGTTGAATTTGATCTTAGTGATTAATCTATTCACTAAAATATTGAGAGAATTGCCAAAATAGTCGCTTGGGACTAAATTAATACTTTTATAGACTCTGGGACTAAAATGACCCTATGTAAGAAGTTGGGGACTATTTTAACACTTTACTCCTACAATATTAATACTCTAGGTTCTACAAGACATGAAAAGTACCATGGAAAATATAGTTAAGATAAGGCATTATAGGGCACACAATAATGAAACTTATATCATATCAATATGCCTTTAATTACATAATACAAAATCTTATTTTATTTAATAATGCATATTTATTATTTAAAATTTTAGTAAATATACTCTTTGTTTGAGAAGTATGCTTAATACCATTTATCAATTCAACAGAAATTATGTGCTTCATTAGCATATCATTATTTTCTAGATTAAATAACATTTTATCATATTTAATATTTCAGTATTTCACATATATATATTTAAATTTGCTCAATATGCTTATTAAGCCTAATTGTGATTAATTAATTAATTATCTTTAATAATGTAATTATTAATTCTAGTAATGAATGAGTTAAATTTCGATCTTGTACCAGCTCAAAATCAAAGATTTCAGATGGATTGCAATCAAACCAAGATAAAAAAAGGCTTTTTTCAAAATAGATCCGTCCAATTACCAGCAATCTCAATAAAGCTTGACATGCATTCAAACCAGTTCAATTATAGAGAGAAAATAAAAAGTTCGATTTCAGTTGACCCAACTTCCCCAAGGACAAAGGCATAACAAAGTTAACCATTATAATTCATAACATAGGGCATCAATTCAAACCTTTAAGAAAAATGATAGACTCTGCTGAAAAATAAAAATTTAAAAACAAGAATCGTAAAACTTGCAAAATTCAATGACTGCTTAATTCTCAAACTAGTAAATTCACTGTTCTACATGTCAGCATGTAGAACAAATCAGACAGCTAAACCAACTAGGCAATTAACCTCAAAACTAAAAAAAAATTCAGCTCAAAAATTAAATCTAGTTATGACAAAAATGAGACAACTGAGCCACCATAATGTCCTCAGTTAATCAAATAGGCATACTTTAAGAAGTTATATGCTTGATAACGGAAAATAGCCTTAAAATTGAAACCAGAATCCCACATTTTGTATGTGAAGTTGACTAGGGCGGCAAAAGCGGCACAATGATTTTTCCCATGAAGGAAGACCCGATGCGGCTCCAAGCTCGCGAGATAGGCGTAGAGCCGAACCAAACGGCAATCTTTTGATTTCTTTTCAATTTTTAGCAAGTTTCTTCTTTTCCTTTCCTTTCTTTTTAGTCATTTCCTATATATGTGTTGTATTAGGGTCAGGATTGTTATTTTTGGCATGACTTTGTTTAGGACAGCATCTGGCATCCATCTTCTCCCTTCGAGAGTTGTATCCAAGGGTTTGGGTGGTGCGTCGGTTGTATCTCTCTCCCAATGTGGCGATTATCTTATTGTAATAGGGTCAGGATTGTTATTTTTGGCATGACTTTGATTAGGACAGCATCTGGCATCCATCTTCTCTCTTCGAGAGCTGTATCCATGGGTTTGGGTGGTGCTTCGGTTGTATCTCTCTCCCAATGTGGCGATTATCTTCCCTATACACTTTCACATCCTTCCCACGTCGCTCCCAGTCATCATATCACACTGCAGCCGCCCACAACAGCAGATTTTGTTGTTGTTTCATGCAATTCCTCCATTTCCAGCCACCTCTCTCGCTTCCCAGCCTTGCTGCCCGCCCCCCGCCCCACAAACCCACTCTCCACCCTGTCCCAACCTCGCCTAAGACGCGGGTAATCCAACTCTGCAAGTTGATCTTCTATATTTGGATAGATCATCTCGGGTTTAGAGAATGATCCAGGAATAGATAAAAGTTCAGGTTGTGACGCTGGAGTTGATTCAAAGGGAGTTGGCTCAAACATTTCAAGTGATGTTTCAATAGGAAGATCTTGAAGATCAGTTTCAAAATTGCAAAAATTAACGACATCATCTCCACCTTTCATGAATGAACTTTATTCATTATTAAGATTATTTATATACATAAATAATGAAAAAGAATCTTCATCTTCATTTCCTTGCTCACTTGGAGATGGATCCCAAACTGGTTCATCATCATCATATTCTTCAACTTTGCATATAGTTATGCAATTTTCAGCATCATCTTCCTCGTAATCCCATAGGGGATCATCTTCATAAGCCATGTACATTTATATTTCTGTGTCTATGTCATTGTTGTTGCTATTTCAAATTTTTGGGTGTCTAGTTGTATTTTTCATTTCAAGTGTTTTGGTCGTAACCGTATATTTAATTTCAGTAATAATATTTAATTTTTCTATTGTGGTTTGGATTAACTTCGGTATCATTTGGTATCAGAGCTAGTCTAACTTTAATCCTAAGTTAAGGTTTCTAGCATCCACCAATACTCAACCTATCTTCACCCAAAACTGTTCTCTTCGCTAATTTCTCAAACCGACAACCCAAACATTTTCTTTCCCATAGAAAAAGAGACCATTCAGAGGGCCAAAGATGAAAGACCACTATCTAGAAAATTTGGCATGAAATATCAGATAAACCTGGATTTGGAAGTAAAGGTAGAACAACCATATTTTAACGACCACTTGGATACTTGGATTTGGACTATTTCGTCGAGTGGCTCCAAACCATAGAACTATTCTTTAAGTACCAGAACATCTCATCGGATAAAAGAGTAAAGCTACTCACGAGCAAAGTTAAAAGCAGAATGCATTGTTTCGGTGAGAAATTTTGAAGCACCTACGCCAATGTGAGGGAAAAGATAAGGTCACTAAATAATCCAAGATGAAATTAGAGATGCAACGCAAGTACCTATTAGTTCCTTACAGACAAGATATTCCGATATTAGCTTCAAAAGTGGAGAGCCAAAGTCACCAGGGAACTGCGATATCTTACAAATAAAATTCAACTCAAGGATCTTTCAGTCAGAGCACATCCAAGAGAAAATCAAGTTGACCCCGCCTGAGGAGACACTAGTACAGAGTAGAGAATAGGTGCAACCAATCTATATTCTCAAATCTGTCCCAACCAGAAAGTGTTTCAAGTGCCGCGGATTTGGACACATGGAATCAGATTGCAAAACCCGAGGAATGATCTATTTCACTCAGCAGGGAGCATGGGCAATGACACAATAAACACTAAAGAATGTGGTGACACAAAGGAGTAATATCAGATTCCAACTTATGAGAGAGAAATGCATGTAGTTCAACTGAGCTGATTGGAGACTAATAAAATTAATATTGGTGGTCCACGATAGTTTTAAATTCAAGAAACGAATACCAGACACATGAAAATCTTAAATAAGAGAATTTCAAACTTTTCTGATATATAGTCAACTTCCAGTGTTGCCCCTACAGAGGGAGGACCAACATGTTAATAATAAGACTCTTTTGCACCACTTCTTGAAGACTATATGAAGTCATTTGGGTATTAGAATCAGTTTAGGAGTATACCCACTGATAGATCAAACAAGATGTATGGACTACAACATTGAAAATTGCCTTAGAATTTTTGTGGGGAAAGAACACCCTACAATGGGATCTATGTCCTTTCAGAAAAAAAGAGGGTTCTTCTGAGCGGTTGTCATTGATAGAGGCCTGATGTGCCAGATTTCATCCATAGTTTGTTCCTCCAGACAAATTTGATTTTCGAATGTGCCCTATCGAGTGCAAGGAGTGGAAGATGCAAATTAAAAATCTTAGGGCATAAGACTTAATTTATGAAAATCTACAGCAATATAAATCTCCAGCTCAGGTTGCGCCAAAATATAATTGATACTTATTCTATCAGGATGTGTTTTTTAATGACAATACCTGCAGAACAACTTATAGAGAGATTACATCATTTCTTCTATTTTCAACTAGGTCGACCTTATATCATATCACGAGAAGTTAGAAGCATTGACAAATGAGGTCAAAGCTCCCTCAACCTCGGGAGACTGACGCAGAGCTTCAAAAGCCGTACGCAGGATTTTCTTGCGGCCAAGAGCTTGGCAGCTCCGGGGTCAAGCAAGAAGCACACAACCGAACCGAACGACAATCGTTCAATTTCTTTCAAATTTTAGCAAGTTTCCTCATTTCATTTACTTTTAGTCATTTCCAATACATATGTTGTATTAGAGTTTGGATTGCAGTTTTTGGCATGACTTTGTTTAGGAGTGGCGTCGTCTTCTCCATCAAGGGTTGTATTGAATATTTTGGGTGGTGCTTTGGCGGTATCTCTCTCCCAACGTGATGATTATATTCTCTATTCCCTTCCCTAACCTCCCCATGATGCTCCTAGTCACTGTATCTCGCTGCAGCCACCAGCAAGAGCAACTTTTACTATTGTTTCCTGCCGTCCCTCCATTTCCAGCAACCTCTCTCACCTCCCAACCTTACTGCCACCCCACGCACACGCCCTCCACCCTATCCCAACCTCCTCGCATCGCTTCCAACCTACTTCCTTTGTTGCCGTCATCCAGAACTGCAGGTAATCACTATTTCCTGCAGTATTTCACCTTCCCAGCCACCTTCTCCTCTCTCGAACTTGCCGCCACCCCCAGTAAGCCATCACACAGTTGTCCTCCCTCTTTCTAGCATCCCTGGGCAGCTTATTCTTGCCGGTTCCAGCCTGTTGCAGCAATTCCTTGCATGCTGCCGCACAGGACAGCAAGCTAACGTTGCCTTTCCACGATTTCCCAACAGCCAGGCACCTTCCCGACCTTGCCACCACCTTCCAATCCCATAACGGTCACCACCACCTCTCGAGATCCACCCTAGTTGAGTAGTGCTTATGTCGTTGTTATTGCTATTTCAGATTTTTGGGTGTCTAGTTGTCGTATTTTTCCTTTCAAGTGTGTTGCTTCTAACCATCTATTTGTTTTTAGTAATAATATTTATTTTTCTTATTGTGATTTGAGTTAACTCCATTTTCAAGATTTCCCGCTTGTTGGAATCAACACATAATCCTTTCGAGGTAGAAAACCCCAAGTTGCCTTGCAATTTACCACTTCAATAAGCAACTACTTGACTTAATGAACAAGACTGATTCTCTAATTTTCCTAGTGCCTTTGCTAATCAGTTTAAAGCCAACTTGAACCGCTAGATTCAAGATGCGGGGAGCAACTCATACATGTAAAAAAATTCCCATGAATTGAAAATTAGTCCTGCTAAATAATGACATCAGGTTTTTCTGGGGGCATTTACATACATTCCACCCAATTCCTATGCAGTTACATATCTAACACGTAAACTCTACCTTTGTACCTTTATACCACCTAAATTTTCATATCTCACCAAAATATCACTATTTTGACTTTTCAAAAGTGAACTACACCTTTTCATGCATTGGTAAAGTGACATATATGCAAAAAAAAATTTAGGTGTAGAATTAAGTGTTATGTATTTTTAAAATTTTTTTTTTTTTTTTAATTTTTTTGCCCGTTTTTATCACTGAAAAAGGCATATCTAAAGTGATGGTGCCTACTTCGTGTTGAAGTAATTAAAGTAAAATCTCACAACCAACCTTTGAGGTACATTACTTGAGTGTGCGGTGGATCATCTCATTAAAGAAAATGACTCTTGATTGCAGGCTCCATTCTTCATCTGTATAATGTATATATAGACACATATTACCAACTATTTGGTTTCCAAGTCCAAGATAAAAAATGCAAAAGAAACTCTATTGTTGGGAGGTGTGCCTGTTATCCAATATTGGACTAAAATTCTAATGGAAAGAAACAATTTAAACAGGAGCAGGAATTTAAAACCGTCTAAAAATGTGATTTATGGCAGTAGCTCCATATGGAAAAAAATTCAAAATTAATTCTTGAATCGTAAAATTATTCAATGAGCGTTATTTTTCAATTATATGTTTACATTTTTTGTATGTTCCCTTCTCCACGTACAGCTTGTGTAGGGCCGTGTATTGATTGTGATGGAGATCCTAAAACTTGCCTTGGAGTGATAGAGTATTTTGAGTCAGCAAGCTTCAAAGAATGTCAAGGAAAGCGTGGTAGCAAAAGATTAGGATTTATGTGCAAGAATTAATGGAAAAACTTAAGTTGTAAGTCGTTCGTACAAGATGAAGCTAAAAAATATAAAGCCCTAGACCTAAATTTAAGCCTATTACGTAAGAATATATGTAAATTCAGGGCTCGATACTAATTCAGAATCCTAGATTGGGATGCTTATTCTAGAAAGTTTCAAGAATCTGTTAGTTCTTTTTTGTACTAGATTTTATTTGGAGACTAAATCATGCAAAAAAAAGTCCCTAATATAGAAATAGGTTTTGTGTATGCGTTAGACTTTAGTGGAGAAAGTTAGCGCTTGATAAAAAAAAAACTCTTATTAATGATAAAAAAAAGGTGTCTAGATTAATATTGGAGCCTTTTACTAGTTTTCAAAGTGTTTAGGTTGACAAAAAATCAGACTTAACAGAAATAGGACAGATTCATTCCTAACCTTGGTCCACCACTAATATTGGATTTTGGTTTGGGAACTGGAGAAAAGTTAGGGAGAAGAATTAGAAATACAAAGAGAAAAAGGAGAATTCTCACAACAAAGATTGATTTCAATAGCAAATATGAATAAAAGTGCAACAAAAAAAACCTATCATTCATCAGAGCAATAGGGTGGTGGAAGATCATCAAATCTCCACTCGTGGGGCTGGTCATCAAGCCTCCAAATCTTGGATGAAATTAATTTTTTTGTCCTTTTACAAATAAGAAAAGAAAATGGAGATAGAGAGGGAAGAGAAAGGGCGTGGAGGTGGCCTCTCCTTTCGAGACGAAAATGGGGAGCCAACTCATTAAACATTGGAAACCCTAAATAAATTATTAAATTAATTAAACATGATTCATGCAATTAATTAATAACTCCTCTCATGATAAAAACTAATTTCTCTCACATCTTGAGAATTTAAACTCTAATCTAATTAAAATTTTCAAATTTTTCATATGCATCGATAAAATTAAAGGGCATTTACATACATACCACATATTTCTCATGTATTTAAATATCAAACACCTAAATTTTTCATATTTACATGCATAGCACTCAAATCTTTAATATCACATCAAAAATAACATTATTAGTTATTTTCTAAAATTGAAATACAACTTCTTATGCATAGGTTTATAACACTAAAATGCTATAAATATAAAAATAGAAGTTTACGTGTTAGATAAATAAATAAATAAGAATAGTGTCACATGTATATAAATCTAAACATAGTAATTGCATAATAACATAAAATTGTAGCAATAAAAATTAAACTAATAATTAAATTAGGATATCTTTATGTTTCCTGTGATTAAACAAATTTTTCTATACCTTTTGACTCCTCATGACTAGTTGTAACAATAAATATTAAACTAATAATTAATTTAGGACATCCTTAAGCTTCTTGTGATTAAGCAAAATTTCTATACCTTTGACTTCACGTGATTAGAGACTGTTGTTTATTATGCATCAAATTATAATTAGAATCAAGTGAGATCATATAATTCTCTAAAATATTTTTACATTCACATAACCCTAGGGCATGTATTCTTAAGTATCTACCATAACCTTCATTATTCAAGATATTCCATTTAAGCACAACCTTCTTTGTTGTTGATACCCCCTTTTCCTTCATTATTTCTATATCCTTCGAGAAGCCTCAACTCATCCAATAACAGCAATTTTATTAGCAGCCTTCATTTGTTATGTTCCTGCTCTAATTCTACTAATAGCCTACAACCAGTCCTTCCAGCAGCCAACATTATGCCCCTAACGCAGGGCTCGGCCTTTTTCTTTATTTCCTTTCTTACCTCCATAAACCTTTCCTAATTATATAATCTTTCCTAAAATTCAAAATCTGATTTTATTCTCCCTCTAATTTTAAAACCTTTGCATTAAATCTGAAATTTGATTTTGTTTCCTTCCCTATTTTAAAAGTTTTGCCTCTGATTCTGAAATTTAATATTATTTCTTTCCAATTTTAATGTTTCCTAAAATAGGGTTTAGGGTTTAGGGTGTAGGGTGGGAAAGAAAAATTTTAAGTGGGGATTGGGTTGAGTATAGGTGGATACTATAAATCATAAGATAGGGTTAAGCTAGTTCTGATATCAAATGATACATGATTAACCTAAACAATAATAGGAAAGAAAAATAATAATGTTGATTTGAAAATAAGAGATTACAACCACACAAACAGAAATAGGAAATGGCAACAAACACGATGCGCTGAAATAAACAATGGCTACAAATGACAACACCTACTCAAACTAGGGTGGATCTTGAGGTGGTGGTGGTGATCGGCAAGGGTTCAAACCTATAGAGAGGTGCCAAAGGGTCGTTGATGGGCTGGAAGGTAGGGTGGCAGCAAGGGGGCAGCGATGATAGCAAAGGGGAGGAAAGAAACTGTCGGAACGGCTAGAAGGCAGACTGTTCTAGGCTGTGGCAGCAAGGTTGAGAGACTGGATAGAGGCCAAACAATAGGAGAAATGATATTCTGAGCTGCGGCGGTAAGAGGGAGGGCAGTGGATGACAAGACAGCGAAAGGGTGGCTGTCTGGGGTGCTGTCCGGGACGGCGTAAACGAGGAAAAGTGGGATACTGCAGGAAGAACAACAAAAGGCTGCTATCTGGGCAGCTGCAGCAAAAACGAATGCGTGGCAGTGAAGTGAGAGGGATGTGGAGTAGTTGGGAAAGAAAAATCATCACCTTAGGGGCAAGAAACAGCCGGAGCACCCCGCAACCTCGGATACCACCCTGGAAGTAAGAAACGGACACCGGCGACTATCCTAAGCAAATTCATGCAAAAACTGAAAACCTAAAAACACGGGAGTCAAAAATATAAGCCCTAGATAATTAGAATTGGGTCCCCCTTTAGACAGGAGGCAGCCAACCCTCTTGAGAGAGCAAGCCGGCCCCACATATGAACCAGTTAGGTACAGACATCACAATTGCGGGGGTTTTGTGGAGCACCCAATTACGCCCACCTCATCACAATGCAAGTATAGAACAACCATCAATCAATGAAAATGTGAAAGCAAAATTGTTTTAAACTCCGTATCAAAATAACAATGATAACCATTAATGTAGTTACTATAAAAAGCTATGACATGCCATAAAAGAAAGTTGGAAATTGAACAACAAACTGATAGAGTACAAAGGCTCATTTTCAAGCAAAATAATGATGCATGGCCTCCTCAACACATCATAAAAGCATAGATAGATGAAAGTTATAACATGTAAATTGTCAATTCATTTTAATGAATTTTTTGTAATTTTATTATTGTAATTTAAATTTTAAAAATTAATTGAGTAGTTAGTGGATGTAGGTTTGCCATTTATGAGAATGAGGAGCCATGCCAATTCTCCTTTCCAGTTTCTCTTTCATCAAAGAAACCACCACCTCCATTACAATTACCAAGAAGAATTGTCTGCCACCTCTCCTCTGGATAACCACTATGTTTGCATGAAAATAATGTGGGCAATGCAAAATTGACTTCCCTTAAGGAAAATTTAAATGCTGCACTAATTTTCCAACATTTTTTTGTTGTTGTTATTGCAGATGGCTCCTTTACATAAAAATATTTGGAATGAAAGAATGAAAGAGTCAGTTTGGTTGTCATTACATCCAAAACTTCATTGTCTCCTTGTAACTTCGCGGTGCATGACTTCCATAAATGGTTGGCGACTTTCATGGCCATGGGAAGTTAGCTGGCAAAACATGGAATGTATGTTTAGCTTTTTTAACTCAATTCCCTTGGCATTCCCTCTATCCATTCAAATCCTAGAATGACACTACTTGGATTTTGTGATCTCCCTAATCTCTACATGGCATCACTTCTCTAGTTTTACTCCCAAACAAGTCCTAAACTATCCCCATCACCACCATAACTCTCCACGGCTCTCACCACAGATATATAAACCAAAATATTCCTCCATCTCGGCTTCATCGCATACTCCACTTGATCAAGCAATACTCACCTCATCTCCCTCCTATTTTATTCCCAGCTATCATTGAAAACCTCCACTTCCATCACTGTTCAAGACGACATTCAATCTATTAATTTTCTTACATCACTCTTACTCTATATCCATGAAGAGGGCAACATTCTCATGAAAACCCCAATTCATGCTACTTCACAAACTCAATATAGCCATCAAGAAATTGGGATATTGTGACGGACAGCAAAAGAATAAAAGCCATGCTCATGTAAACATGACCCAAACAAATTTAAATGCAAGCTTGTATCAAGAAGAATTTAATCAAGGGAATATTGGAGATGTAAAAGATTTCCAGATTAGTCCATTCCTTCGCACTCTCATGTAAGCTTGTCCTTTCCAACAGATCAAAAGCCTCAAATAATCATCGTGGATTCTTGGATCAAGATCCACAGACCATGACACATTCATCATCAAAATTAACTACCTGCACACCTTCTCAAAGTAAAAAAAAGAAGTTATATTGCTCCTATTTGATTCACACTGTCATAGTCGCTCTATTATTTCTAGTCTAACTTTGGATGGTTTAATTGCTTTCAAGGATAATTACATTAAAATTTTATTGATTTTCCACTTAGATCTAAATCAAATGTTAAGTATTTTCCTTTCCACTTTTTTAATATGATTTAGAGCTAATTTAAATTAAAATTAAAAAAAACCTTAAATCTAATGCCAAGGATTACTTCAACAATATTTTGTACCAGTATTTTAAAAATGGGCAATAATTCACAAGTATTTATAAATAAGGCAACAAAAATAAAATATCAGTTGCTTCTAGGCTAGAAGTAGAGCAATATTTTTCTAGCAGAAATGTTCCAAAATCAAATTGGGATGAGCCATCCTTATAGCTCTGTATATCGTTAAAAGGCTGCCCACTAAAAGTATAGAGTTCAAATAATCAATGGAAATGCACTCTCAATTTCACACAAAATTGAACATCATAAACAACACGCGAATTTGTTTGTTGTGTCGTATATGTCAGGTTTATAGTAAGAAAATAGATCCCAAAACAATAAAGTATATATTTGTGGGCTACTCATCAGCCCGAAAGGGGCATAAATATCACCATACACCTGACAAAACAAAATACTCTTATGTTTCTAATCTCTATTGATGTCACTTTAAAAAAAATAAACATTTATTTAAGCAGATCTTATCTTCAAAGGAAGAGTTCTATTGTGGAAAGGATAGAGAACCTTGTTGTAGGATCTGGCTTCTTCGCCCACACCTAACTAATAATAAAATTGTCCTGATGTCTCCTAAAGGAGCTTGTGCAAAGATTAAATCGGTTTCCAATCCTCATAACTCAGAAATGCTAAATCATGACACTTAGCATTTGGACATATAAACAATAGTATTCAAGAGTCAAGATCCAATTTGATAAAATATACATGCAGAAGATTCTTCTCTAAACCCAGATAATGAGTCAACTTTTTTAGCAACTGAGTCCCAAAACAAAACCTAAAAATGAAGACAATGATCTCATCAAATTTCATTATAAAGAAAAAAATATATATATCTAAGTGAACCAAAATAAACGTTATATTCTTTATCTCACCTTGTGTTATCTGAAAAGGTTTAATCACCTCAGAAAGATTTCTTTGTGAGCATAATCATCATTTCAATCAATAAAATATGCACTGAGGTATTATCCATTGATAAATGAGGCAAAGTCCTAAAGTGAAGGAAGCTTTGTAGAAGAACAAA